CAGGTCTCTCTCTCTCTCTCTCTCTCTCTCTCTCTCTCTCTCTCTCTCTCTCTCTCTCTCTCTCAATTAATTTTCTATTGTTACTACTATTTCTTTTATTTTTCTCTTTTTGAGACTGTTCAGGTTTAGATAGGTGTGGAAAGAGCTGCAGGCTGAGGTGGATAAACTATCTGTGCCCGGGTCTCAAGAAAGGCCCTTTCACTGAAGAGGAAGAGAGCATCATCAGACAGCAGCACAGAATGCTAGGCAACAAGTACTAGAAAGACCCAAATCCCAACTATGCCCTAAATCTGTTTCTTGTACAAAATTAATTATTTTTAATTAATGATTTTCTTTCATTTTCAGGTGGTCTGTGATAGCTAAGCACGTCCCAGGGAGGACTGACAACGATGTGAAGAATTTCTGGCACACAACCATCAAGAAAAAAATTGTCGAAGAAGAGAACCAAGAAGGGAGCCAGGGAACAAACCATCATTTTTTTACCAACTTGCTTAATGTGCCTGATCTCTCTCAGTTCAAGATCCCTCGGCCTTCTGCAAGCTTTTTGAGCCTCGAAATGAAGAAGACAAACAATTGGAAAGACGTGGTTCAGCCTAGTTCTCTGCAAGTTCCACAGACGTCGCTTGGTCTGTCCTTGTGTGATCCTACTGATTTGATTTGGTACAAGGAGCAGAATCCGGAGCTCTTTATGGATTGTAGTAACAGTGGTTCATCTTCTTCGTCGGTGAAAGGGAAAGAAAAAGTTGATCAGGTTGATGAGATCAACGGCGAGAGAGTTAATCAGGTGATCACAAACGGCGACGACGGTCTCGGCTTTGATCATGAACTGGTCGACGGATGGTGGAACGCATCACTGTGGAGGCCAGATGGAAGCCACTAAATCCAGAAAAATTAATATAATGTAATAATGAACTATAGATAGAGAGCTGTTACTTTGCTAATATTGTTGTAGCTGTTAATGCAATGAAAACTTTTTAAGTGTTGTTTCTATGATTTTTCTTGAGTACCATCATCAGCTAGCTAGTTCTGTAGTTTCTGATTGTCACTGATGAGAAAGTTTGACATGGTTGCTTGAAGTTCTCATTGGTGTAGGACAAGTGTGCTCTTCTGCATGCTTCTTATTCTTAGTATTATCCAATGATTTTCTGGATTACATAAGCATTGTATTATTTAATTAAATATAAGAATATAGACAAAAAATTATGTGGCTCTTATCAATCAATTTTAGCAACTTCCCTAAATAGAATCAGTGGCCTAATTTCATCTAAATATAAGCTCAATCATTTGTGGCTTGATTAATTAAACCTTGTCTAGCAGCAACATGAGCCATTTTATCATATTAATTAAAGTTCATATAGTGGGTTATATATGATTGTTGTGTCATGGAGATCCCTTATTATTAGTTCTAAATGTTGCTGCATAGAAGAATTTGATATAAAACTCCAACCCTATATATATTGGTACAAGGGATTTTGATTAACCCTATGTGTCATGTGTTCAGGTCTTTTTGGGACTTGTGAGAACATAAAAGACAAAGTAGTTTGTAGAGAAATTTGAAAGAAATGTGTTAAGATTTCTTGAGAGAAAAAGTAAAAGCGATTGAGATTGTAAAAATTTCACAAAGATCTAGTAGGTGGGACTTCTGGTTAGCGCCACGAAGAGTGAGGGAGGAGATCTCCCTAGTTGGTTAGGGGTTCAAATCCCCGCTTTCGCATTCACCTGGTTTCTGTGGGATTAAGGGTGGTGTGAATGGGCCAACCCATGTAAAGAGTTCACGTGAGATTGAAAACACGTGAAGTGGGAGAAGTCCAGCGGATGTTTGCTAAGAGCCAGTGGACGAATGCGTGAAGAGATAAGATTGTATCTCTTTTCCGCTGGACAAAGCAGGCCCACCCGATATCAGTGCAAGGCAGGGACTTCTGTGCAAAGGCGGCTGTACAAGGAGCAGTGCAAGGCAGGGACTTCTGTGCAAAGAGGGGCTGCGTGCAAGTGCTAGGAGCCGACTTTTGGGTAAAAGAGGGCTTCGTTGCTGCAGAGGAAAAACGCAGAAGAAAGTTTGGCTGTTGTCCTTTGGGTTTTTGGCGGATGTTCTTTGGGTTTTGGCTGTTGTCCTTTTGTGAGAGGTTTAAGAGATTGTGTGAGGGTTTAGATTGAGTGATTGTAAACCCTAGTTGAATTATCTTCCTCTAATAGTAGATCTCCCCCCTCCTTGCCCTATGGACGTAGGCAATTTACCGAACCACGTTAAATTTGTGTTTTTACCGTGATTTGTAGTAGCTTGTAGGTTTCCCTGACAGGTCAGTCCTAGAACTGATAAGAGGAAAAACTGCTATCTCACTTTGTTGAGATATTATGCTTTTGGTTCTTGTTTCCTTTGTAAAACAGGATTTTCCGTTGTAATCTAATCTTTTATTGTGCCCCTTGCGCACCGGAGGTGCTGCTAAAATTTCCGCTACACACAACAAGTGGTATCAGAGCTCTGGGTTGGACTTGGAAGCTTGTTCGAAGGATTCGCTATTGGATTCTTATTTGGAGAGTTAGATCTACAACATGGGTGAAACAAGCACATCGGGGTCATCTCTTACAAAGATGATACATAGTTTGAGCATCAATAACATAAAGATCGATGTTCCGAAGTTTGATTACAAGATCAATTTTAGTTTGTGGAGGTGCCAGGTGATGGATGCGTTGGACGCTCAAAACTTGGAAGAGACCCTTGAGTTACAAGAGAAACTGCTAACATGGAAGAAAAAGTTTAGAAGAAGATGAATAGTAGGGCGTGTGGAGTTATTCGGTCATGCTTGACGCTGGATCTTATTTATGATATGATGAACGAGACGTCGGTGAAGAAGATGTGGGAAACACTCAATGAAAAGTATCTTACTAAGAGCATTAAGAATCGGCTTCACTTGAAGAAGAGGTTTTACCAGTTCAAGATGAAGAGGGGAGTTTTCATCAGGGAGCATGTTAACAACTTCACGAAACTACTTTCAGACATGGTCAATGTGGATATCATGGTTGAGGATGAAGACAACGTGATGCTACTTTTGTGTTCGTTACCTAAGGATGATTATGGTACCTTTGTTCTTACTATGATTAATGGAAGAACTACTGTTAGTTACAAGGAGGTGACCTCATCGTTGGTGAATTATGAGTTAAGGAAGAGTATTGATGAGTCCTCCGAGAAGGCATCAGGAGATGCATTAGTAGTTCAAGGCCGTGGTTCAAATCGAAGCAGGAGGTCACAGTCTAGAGGTGCACATCGTGGAATTCGTAGGAATCAGTGTGTTTTTTGTAAAGAGGATGGACATTGAAAAGCTGAATGTCCAAAGTTAGATTGAGCCGAGAAGAATAAGGGGAAAGCTGTACAAGCTTCAGAGGTGAATGTTGTCAAGACTAGTGGCAACAATTCGGATTCAGATTCTTCAGGCTATTCGTTGTCTGCACTACCGTCAGTTTGTGTTACCAACTTTATAGAGTGGATGTTGGATTTGGGTGCTTCTTACCACGTTTTTCCTAGGAGTGATTGGTTCTCCAGCTTTCAGAAGTTGGAAAGAGAGGATGTTGTGCTCATGGGTAATGGGCATACATGCTCTATTGGTAGTATTGGTACCATTCGGATTAAAATAAGTGGTGGGGTGATTCGGGAGTTGGATGAAATGAGGTTTGTTCCACAATTGAAGATGAATATCATTTCACTTGGAGATTTGGAGGCAGCAGGCTATAGGATGATCTTGGTGGATGCACGTTGGAATGTCACATTGGGGTCCATCATTATGATGAAGGCCGTCAGAAGGAGTAATTTATATTATTTACTTGGAAGCACGGTGATTGATAGGGAGATGACGACTTCATCAGATTCGGCTAGACTGTGGCGTTGTTTGATGTTGGGTTATTTGATTGGTAATGTCGTGCATAAGTTGTTGAGGAGTACTTTGACCTGTAGTTTGAAGTTCTGTGAACCCATTGGTATGAGCAAGAAGATCGGGGTGGAGTTTGGTACTTCTATCCATCATTCAAGGGGTATTCTAAAGGGTGTTTATTTAGGAATTCGGGGGCTTTCCAAGGAAGCATTATTGGGAGGTAATATGTATATGGTTTCCGTAGTTGGGGATTGTTCTAGGCATTGGTAGGTTGCAACCAAGTCCTGTTGGTGTGAAGTCCTAGAAGCTCGCAACAGATAGAGGAAGTGTGTTGGTATAAAGGTAACCCGGTGTTCTGATTATGTTAGAGGTTCTTTCTTGTGTTTGTACCGAGCTCACGGCAATAGGAGATACTTCATTGGTGTAGAAACTTTAAGGCGACGTGATGAGATGACAGATTTAGGATGTTGTTCCTTTCTAGAGGAGGATCGGTATTTGATATCGAGC